TAATGCTGAATGAGGGAAGCCAGATAGTAATGAATACCTAAGGCACGGTGAACTCTAACAAGCACAATCTAATCTGTAGTGGAAAAGAACCTTAGAGACATGTGCGAGAAGTGGCAGGAGGGAGCGAGGGACATAAAGGAACTTTGGAAATGATGAAGTTGTTCATGGCCTTGGGGCATAGGTATATGTATCTGTAAAAACTTACAGAACTGAACACATCCAATATGCTATTTTTTAAAATGCCTATTACACTCAAAACATTTTTATGGGATTCAAGCCAAAGGATTTTATTTCTTTTGTGGATTCTTCTTACACTATAGAATCAAGAAATTTAAAGAGGTCAGAGCTGAGAAAAAGTTTTCTGTTAGTTTTACTCCAGTTGTATCTTACTTTTTCATATATACAAGAGTAATTATATGATTAAACGCACCCACATGTAAAGCAGACATTTCTAAAATTATGAGGTATGACATAAAAACCCTAAGTGGTCAGAAAGCATTGTGTCCTAGGTTTTGGTTTCAATGACAGTCTCTTCCTTCTGTAACACATGAAGTAATGGAACATCTATCAGTCGATGGTGTCTTAGATTCTTGGAGTACAGTAGACCCTGACCATTTCCTGTCTTGTTCACTGCTACTGTTCCAAGTCATCCTCATCCTTGGCCTGGCCTGCTGTAGTACCTTTTCCTATTTCCATGGTCAACCAGGCTCTGATTCCAAAGAGGGAGAGGGAGCCTTTCAAAAAGTAAATTAGTCAGGCACGGTGATGCTTGCCTTTAATCCCAGCATTTAGGAGGCAGAGGCAGGCAGAGCTCTATGAGTTTGAGGCCAGCCTAGTCTACATAGCGAGTTCCAGGCCAGCGGGAGCTATATAGTGAAAGCCTGTTTCAAAACCCAAATAAAAACAAAGCAAGTAAGGTAAACCAAATTAAGTCATTCTCCTGCTTAAAATCCTCCATGACTTCTTGACTCGTTCATACTAAGATGCACTCCTTGCAAAACCCTAGACTGCTCATGTCACTCCTCACTCCACTGTCTTCCTGCCTTCCTCATTCTCTAGGCGTTTCGAATTCCTCACTTTAGCTGCACTCACTTTCACAAATGCACATACTCCGAGACCACTGCATTTTCCCTTCTTCCCGTCTGCCATTCTCTTCCCCTGACGTTTGCATCATGCCATCCTCTCATCTCTATCAAATCAGTGTTCAAATTTCTAGTCAGCCAGTCCCTTTCTTACTAATCTATTAAAAATTGCAGCTCTTCTCCAGAACCCTTGAGTAGCAGCCCATTCGTGTTTTAGGTTCTCCTTCCTCAACTTATTTTGCCATCCCTCCTACTACTCAATGGCACACGCATTTTATTAGTTTATCCGTTTGTCTGTATATTCCTCACATAGTATGTAAGTCCGATGTGAGAAATGGACTTCTGTTTGGTCTGTTTTGTTCTCCACTGTTTATAGTACTGTGAACAATTCCCAGCACACAGTACTATCTAGTAAATACTTGCTGCGGAATGAACAAATATGCATCCGTGAGTGGCTCATGAGTACAGCCTAAAGCTGCCGGGTACAGGGGCGAATTTTGTTGCTGCTTTCTTTTAAAAATTTATATATATTTTATACTTCAGAGGCCCTATGTTTTAACATACTTCACCCCAAACATTTTGAACTAGAAGGAAGGTATGTTAACTCATAGCCATTATAAATCAGTGTGAGTCGATGTCTGAGAAAAATATCCTCGGGTATTAGGAGCTTCACTTTATCTTAATATAAATTAAGATAATTCCTTTGCCACCCGGGGAATGTGGGAAGAGAGCTTTGAGACATGCTGGTGGGTTTCCGAACATACAGGTACATCTGAGAGCGCTGTAGACTGGATCTAAATGGGTAGCAAATGGGCTGAATCTAAGTCTAAAGATTATCTGAGTCCAGTAGGAAAACACATAATATAGCACATGTCAATAAAGCTTGTGAGAGAAAAATAGTCTTTAAATTGACAGACTCAAAATCAAGATAATGCCAGTGAATTACTTGTTCTTACTGGGCTGGGGAAGTCAGTAAATGACTAGGAAAAGGGAAGACTGAACATTATTAGTGGACAGTCTTTTCTTTGGAGAAAAGGAGGAAATGGCGCCCAGGTTCTGCATGTGCTCTCCATGATCTGCATCTCTAATAGGCCATTATAATATCTTCTGGTCAAGATACGGCTTCCTTTGTATTCAATGGCAAATGACAGCCATTCGGTAAGTTCCTCCTCATTTTTTTTGTTCCTTCTGGCACTTTCTACCATGGTTTCTCTCCGCTCTTCTGTTTCCCCTTTGTTCCTCTGAGTCTAACAGAAGAAAAAACCCTCAGCTATAAATAGAAAGAAAATTAGTTCAGTGTGGGGCCGCTGAGCGCTGGGAGCTGGAAAGAAGGATGGGGTTGGCTTATGGCTCCTTCTGGCTGGATCTGGGAAGAGACCTGGCCGCACTCCCCCGAGGCCTTGTGGGTGGAGTGTGCTCACCTGGCCAGCACACTGGCTTGTAGAGCAGCCAATCACCGCTGCTGCTTCGAAGTCTGTAAATACAGGGCAGGAGATTCTTCTGGGGTGGAGAAAACATGAGGCAGTTCGCTCAGCATCTGCTATAGATTGTGGTGAGGGGCATGCGCATGCTGGGTTATTGATATAAATCATTTTGTCATGAGGCATCATCAGGGCTAAGGTAAATGAATCAATTGCATTTTGCCATTATGTATAATCATCAGGTTGTGCATTATATAACTGACCCACTGTCAGTGTTGAATAGAGCCCTCCCTGTTCATTGAGTGCTGAAGACGACATATAGCCCTCAATTTGTGTTAGTTTATTCCATCGGAGCTGTTATTCCTTCTTTGGAAAGATTCAGGGCCCAAGGATCACTAATCACCCCCTAATAGAAGGGGTATAAGAAATATCTATGGAGCAGTACTCTGACTCCTTGATGGGAACAGGAAGGTGGAGGTATGATAATACCAGGAGGCTCTCACTGTTAAGACGTATTCTCAGAAGTCACCGTATCGCAGCTGCTGTACTCAGTCATGATGCCCACATTGTGCTGAATGACAATCGATTCCTATATCTCTGGATAATGAACAGTGATTCAACTATGTGATAAATAGATACTAAATAATACTATCTTTAGTATTACATAAAGAGTTAAGAGTAACCAATTAAAAATATTTTATTGTTTTTATTTTACGTGTATGAGTGTATTGCCTGCATGTATGAGAGTGCACCCGTATCATGCAATGTCGCAGAGGTCAGAAGAGGGCTTTAGATTCCCATGGAACTGGAGTTAAGGACAGTTCATGTGGGTGCTGGGAATCAAACCCAGGTCCTCTGCAAGAACAGTCAGTGCTCTTAACCACTGAGCAATCTCTCCAGCCCCAAGAGTAACCTTTTAAATACATGTTTTCCAAGTACCCAACCAGAACTTCAGAGGTTTAGAAAAGAATTAATGCCTCTATCCATTTCTGGATTCCATCTTCTAAATTCCTTAATTCTTCATCTTATAAAAGAAGCTACCAACAAACATGACCAAAGAGAAATCTTGTCTGAAAGTATTATATCAATGTCTGAGTTACCTCATCCTTCATTCTCTCTGCCAGAGTCTTTTTACTTTCTAATTTTTCACAGAATCTCACTTTTCACTACCTCCAGGGGAGTGAAAATGTGGAGAGATCCCTAAGCTGGCATCACCAATACTTCATGTGTTTCAAAGTCTCTGGTCTGTCTTCTGACTTCTCATCCCTATAGGCTCCCCATTTTGGCAAGATGCCTTTTTAGGGCTTCTCTGAGTAGTTCTCTAGTATATACCAGAATAACTGTATCTTCCATTCCTCTTGACCTACAAGTCAATTTAAAGCCACATACCTTCCATATGTCAATTATTTTCCTCTAACTAGTCAACAAGTAAAGAGAACAAAACCACACTCAGTAAAAAAATTCATTCTCTTTTCCCAAGCCAGGGAAGACAAATGGAAAGAGATACTCTGTCAAGGATCTATTGAAGGATTGTGTATAATGTAACTAATAGGCCAGAGAAGGCCAAAACAATTCTGGAAATGCACGTCCTTGGGTACAAGGGCTGTCTTACTTCTAGCCATACCCAGAACAGTGCTCATCACAGAGAAAACTATTATAAGATAATCATATTAATATGTGACTCCACTCCTTGCCATACACCCTTCAGGAATCAACTAGGTAGGAGCCCTGGGTCCACTGGGTTGATCTATTCATCTGTTATATAATTATCTGACTCCAGTTACTCAGCAGCATAAAGACAGTTCAGAGGAATGTGTAAGTATTTAGACACTGGAATAAGATTCTGGGCTCAAATATTGGCTTGTAATGTGACCTGGACAAGTCATACAATCTGGGTGGGTCTTGGTCATCTCCTCCGTAACAAGGAAATTAACACTACTTTGCTCACAAAATTGTTAGAAAAACTATATGAAATGACCATGTGAAATTTGAAGCACATACATGTACTAGCACAGATCTACTTGGGAGATCAGGACATAAAGATATTAAATGGCTTCACATAACTGTGGCCCAATATTAATTCTGAAAGCATTTCTGTTAGCACTGAACACAGTCCATTTTGTGAATGAAGGCCATGTGATTTCACTGTCGTAGGGGTGAATTTGTATTGATTTCCCTACTTGCTCTGCTGTGTTTTACTGGGCACACTGTACTACAATAGGTATGATGGGCTGTGATGCAGTTTGCCCTTGTGTTGCACAGAAAAGCTCATGTGTTTCCAGGCCCATGCCTAGTCTTCTCCTGTGGTTCCTCAGAAGGAAAGTTACCTGGTAGTCTGACTTGCCCAACATAAGCTAATCTACAAAGTAGGAACACTTTCAAACTGTTCTCTATTTTGGTTATTTTATCCCCCCGTTGCTGAGGGGGGTTACAGCTAAGCTAGGGTTGGATAACAAGTCAAAGAATACAAAGATTGCCCATCTCTGTAGTATCTTACATTTAGTTGCAGAGAGCTGGGATTTATACTGCCCTCGAACCAGCCGGCAGGTGGACCCATCTCCGTTGCAGACCCCACAGTTATCCTCCTTGATGGTGCTTCCCAGCTGGTGATCACAGCCAACAATCTAACAAGAAAGAGAGATGTATAACTCAACCGGGCACTGACCAATGCACAGTGCTATGGTAAAGTTGGTGGCTACCGAATGGTCCTCCCTTTATCCCATGGAGACATAAAGCATACCTCAGATGAAAGGGACTGAGTTAACAGAATTTGAACGCTGCTAAGGAGGAAAACAAATGTAGCATGGGTAAAGATATCTTTATGGTCAAATACACAAGGCAAAAGATTATAGAAGACAGAGAATGAAGATTCAGAAGGAGGGGCAGAAAGCAAACATCCTGAACTACTGATGTTCTAAAACCTTATTGCAAAAATAATTCCCAGTGGCAATGATGAGTCACCCAAATGACAAGAGACACAGCTTTGAGGCAACTGCAGCTGGAGGCATAGCATCAATAATCCCTACGTGCCAAAGTGTGCTCCTTAGAATGCAAACTGCATAAGGGTTGGGGCTTTGTATGCTGGTTTGAGGTGTTCAATGAACTTAGAACAGTGCTTCAACTGTAGGTTGGTAATTTTTTTGCTGTGACATTAGCTTTTTCTAGCTAATATTTCAGCTAAGAAAAGAAAAACAGAGATAACAGAAGCAAGGCCAGTGGATGTGTGTGGAGGAAGGAAAGGGCTGGCATGGAGGGCAGTGGGGATTATCCAGCCAGATGACTATCTGCCTGGCTCTGACCTGTACAAAGCACAATACAAATATTCCATTAACTTTCAAAATAATCATATAAGATCCCCAATTTTATCATTGCAGCTGTGTATCTTTCCCAAGGCCATTTGACAAGTAAGCAGCCAAATGCTAAATACTTTTAGCAAAACATTTGTGGTTGGTCCAAATCAGGCTTAACAAAACCGCAATCCTTTACCAAGTAGGCAGGTAAGCTTATTTCTATCTTTAGTGCTCTCTCTCAGATTTTTTTTACTAGGAAAAAAAATTAAAAAGCAAAACCCACACTATACCTGGTTGTTCATCTTGTAGCTCCACCTTGAGCTAATAACAAAGACTGACTCTGCTGCCAAATGATTTTAATTATTAGATAAAATAAAATGAGGACTGGAGTGACCATTCAAAGGTCTAGCTCCAAAACCCTTCACGTTTTGTTCTACTTTAAAAAGTCTGGCAATTTGAGGGCTTTTGTCCCTTTCATTAGTAATTGTAAGCACATATTTAACCTAGGTTAAAAGTATAATTATTGACAACTCACCAGCCTCTCTCCTGGGAGCCCTCTGGGGTCTGGTCCCGGCCTTACCTCCCGCTGCTTCCTGGGGCTGCACAACCCACCAGCCTCTTTCCTGGACACCGGGACTGACCTCTTGGCCCCAGGAACCACCACTGCTTCCTGATCCCTTGCATCTAGAAGAACCCAGTTCCTACTTGCTGTCCCCAGGAGCACTCGGGGCCTGATTCTGCCCTCACGGCCCTCTGCTTCCCTGGGCTTGCACAACCCACTAGTCTCTCTCCTTGGTAAGTCCATCGGGCACTCTGCTACTCGACTCCTCAGCCTCATTCACCCTCTCGTCTCCCCCTCCCGTCTCTGCTCCTAGCCTGGGTCCTGTCCCATTCCTTGTCTTGGCACCCCAGATACCTGGGGAACCACCACTGCTTCCTGATCCTTTGCAACCAGACCAACCTAATTCCTCTTGGAGCCCCCAGACCCCTCTGGGCCTGGGCCTGCCCTCACCTCCCTCTACTTCCCTGGGCTGCACAACCTATCACCTCTTTCCTGGACACCAGGGCTGACATCTCAGCTTGCTGATCCTTTGCATCTAGACCAACCCAATTCCTCCCTGCAGTCCCCAGGAGCCCTTGGGGCCTCTTCCCACTGATATTTCCCTTTGTAACTCTGGGTGGCATAGCATTTTCCTGGGCCGGGCTCCCAGGCCAGTCCAACCCCCAAATTCCTGAGGACAACATCTTTCCAAGAGGGATCCAGACCTTAGGAGAAAGCCTGAGAGCATCTGATCCTCATCCAACTTGGGCCTCTGTGGGAACTTTTGAAGAAAAAAGCAATCTGGCCACTCCAATATAAAATCAAAAGAACAAGAAGCTTAGACAAAGCAGCTTTTCATGCCAAACAACTAAACCACAAAGGCGCATAAAGTTTACAAAAAGAAGCAGACCTAAACTTGAAGGCTTGAGTCTCACACAAGAATCAAACTACAAAAGAAATTCACATGTCAAAATCACAGAGAAAAAATAATAACAAGAAAAACCAAAATAATATATCCCCACGAAATACCAATAGTCCTCTAGAGGAGTACAATGAGAACCCCCTAGAGATAATGCAGGACATGGAACTCAAAAGAACAATTATAAACATGATAAAAGAATTCAGTGAATTTAAAGAACACACAAAGAAATGAAAGAACTGAAGGAAGATAGGGATAAACTTCTGAATGAATTCAGAAAAGAGCTAGAAATATTGAAAACTACTCAGGCTGAAATGAAGAAGGAAGTGAAACACTCAGTAAGCCAATTAGAAAGGACATGAGAAAGCCTCATCAATGGGATGACTGACATGGAAAACAGAGTATCAAGACAGGAAGATAAAATGGAGGAACTAGACCACTCAAGCAAAGAATATGAAAAATTTAAGAAAGCACAAGAATGGAGTATGTAGGAATTGTGTGACACCATAAAAAGACCAAACTTACAAAAAATAAGCATAGAGGAAGGATAAGAATCCCAAGATAATGGCATGCACCAGATCTTCAAAAGAATCATAGAAGAAAATCTCCCCAAATTAAAGAAAGACATACCCATACAAATACAAGAAGCACATAGAACACCAAACAGACAGGACCAGAAAAGATACACTCCACGGCTCATCATAGTAAAAACACTACATGTACAAAACAAAGAGATAATTCTGAAAGCTGCAAGAGAGAAGCAACAAGTCACATATAAAGGAAAACCCATTAGGATTACAGCTGAAAGAGAAAATTCTGAAAGCTGCAAAAGAGAAACAATAAGTCACATATAAAGGAAAACCCATTAGGATCACAGCTGACTTTTCAATGCAAACTATGAAAGCCAGAAGAGCCTGGACCAAAGTATTTCCAGTGTTAAATGACCACAGATGCAAACCCAGATTACTATGTCCAGCCAAAATGTCTATTGTAGTTGAAGGGGAAAGAAAAATCTTCCATGACATAAATAGGCTGAAGGAGTTCATGTCCACAAAACCAGCCCTTGAGAGAGTTCTGGAAGCAATACAAAGAGAGGAAGAAATGAATAACTATACACAAGGGGTTGCTGAAAGAAGTTCAATGAAGGTATAACTGTGGAAAAGTACAGCTATATCAAGAATGAAAACAGATATAAAAGTGATAGGATTCAATATGCATCTTTCATTAATAACCTTAAATATTAACAGGCTGAACTCCCCACTCAAAAGACACAGACTAAGTGAATGGATTAAGAAAAAAAAACCCATCTTTTTGTTGTCTGCAAGAAACTCATCTCACTTTTAAGGACAGGCACTATATTAAGGTGAAAGAATGGAAAAAAATATACCAAGAGAATGGTAGTAAGAAAAAAGCAGGCATTGCAATTCTAATATCTGACAAAATA